AAACAAAACCTGAAAGAATTTACCACCACCAGACCAGATCTCCAAGAAATTCTCAAGGGAGTTCTCAAGGAAAATTAAACATAAACACACAGAAATAAAAGTTCAAAAAATAAGAAAATGGCCAACAAAATCATTGGGACAATCTGGAGTTGAATATTATATCCCAGAATTCAATCGGGAAGATTGAATCACAACAGAAGATAGATTAAGTATATGAGGCTGAACTAGTGAAATAGCATTTTATGACTTTTGACTAAAACATTGCTGAATGTCTTCTAGGCTTTGTTTTCTGGTTTTAAGGATTTTTGTCCTGCCTTCAGATGTAGATAGGTTCATGTACTTACTATTTGAACAGAATCCTAACCTGTTTCCTGGCTTTAAGGTTTAAGCAAAGTTCCTTAGCATTTCTTTGATGTATTAAAGTTAAAACTGATTTTCTTGAAAAAAAAAAAACAAATAAAATTAAATAAGTAAATAATTCTTTTATCTCCCCAAAATAGTCAATGCAATTAAAAGATGGACTAATGAGCTGAACAGACAACTCTCCAAGGAAGATATATGAATAGTCAAAAAGCATATGAAAAAAATTCAACATCCCTTATAATAAAAAAGATGCAAATCAAAACCACAAAGTAATAACAACAAATCCCAGACAAAATGGCTAAGATTAAAAAAATATTGGATGATAAATGATGGTGAGGCAGCAGCGGAAAGTGAACTCTCCTACATAGTTAGGAATGTAAATTGGTATAACCACTATAAAGAATAAAATAGAAATTCCTCAAAAGCCTACAAATAGAACTACCATATGATCCACTAATTCTACTAGTGGGTATCTCCCCAAAGATTAGGAATGCACTCAGAAAAGTATTTGCATATCCATGTTTATTGCAGCATTATTTGCCATTGCTAAAACATAGAATCAACCTAAATGTTACAGAACACATGAATGAATAGAAAAAGTGTGGCACATATATACTACAGAATACTACTCAGCCATAGAAATAATGAGAACTTGGCATTTAATTGAAAGTGAATGAATATGGAAGATACTATTTTCTTTTTTAAATTAATTTTTAAAATTACAATTCATACATTACAACACTATACATTATTTAGATTGTGAAGAGAATTTACCCAGTATGATATTCATCTCAGTCCAGCCCAGTTGAAACTATTTATTGTACACATCCTTGTCAACAGGTAAAAAAATTTATTTGTGTTCCATAAATGTCTTACCTCTCCATTTCACCGCCAAATTTTCTTTCCTATGCTCTGCCCCCAACACACTCTCTTTCCACTTTTTCTCTAGTGTCATTACAATTTTTAATGCTTTTATGTTCTCCAGTCTTTCAGTCTCTACCGTAGAATATGGACAGTCGGAACTGATTGCCTAAAGGATGTAGTAACACAGTATATGGATGTAAATACCAGATATAGTGTGTGTGTGTGTGTGTGTGTGTGTGTGTGTGAAAGAGTAGTCTCTGAGGAAGGACATTTAGAAGAAAAATAGGGAAGCAAAGCATTAATGGGTCAAATAAATGTGGTATTATCTGTTGAAGATATTTTATAGTTTTATCAACTGGACTAGGGAGAAATGGTCACCTGTTGAAATATTAACCTTGTAAGCTAAATAATGTAATTGAATGTATAAAAGAAAATGAAACTAAAAAAGAAGAAAAAAGAATGTGGACAATCAGTATATGTTAAGTGGAGACATGCAATGTTTCTTTTTCATAGCCTGACTTGCTTCACTCAGCAACAAATCTTCCATATTCATTCATTTTCTATCAAATTCCAGGACCTTGTTGCTTTTTATAGCTGAATAGTATTCCATGGAGTATACGTGTCATAATTTTTCAATCCATTCATCTGTTTGTGGATATATGAGTTGGTTTCATGTCTTAGCGATCAAGAATATTGCTGCAATAAAAATAGTTGTGCAAGCGCTTTTCCGACCAAGTTTTCACCATTCTGACAGTGGTTACGTGAAATCTCATTGTGGTTTGATCTGAATGTCCCTTACAATGAGGGATGTTGAGCATTTTTTCATGTGCTTTCTGGCTGTTTTTATGTCTTCCTTAGAGAATTGTTTATTCAAATTATTTTCCAATCTTTTAATTGGGTTAATTATTTTCTTCTGGGTAAGCTGCTTGAGTTCCCTGAGTATTATGGTTATCAATCCCTTATCTCAGGCACAGTTAACAAGAACTCTCTCCCATTCTGAGGGTTGTTGATTCACACTAATCACAGTGTCCTTTGCTGTGAAGAAACTCCTTAATCTGATGTAATCCCACCTATCTCTTTTGGAGATTATTGCTGGTGTTTTTTGGGGGGGGGATGTTGCTTAAT